ACCAATGGCTGGGATCGCCTTCGCTCTTTCATGTACTCAAACATATGATAAGAAGATGGTTGTGGATTACCACTTGAAATTTTGTAATGCATTCCCAGAAGATGACCAAATCCAAATAAAACCTGGGCTTCTTCCTGGGCATTGGCAAACTCCTTACATAGCCCATGAATCTGATCCAAGACTCTTCACATCCTTAGTTTCTGACATAATGCTTCAAGTCCAACGTGATGCTAAGCTTCAGGTGACTTTGTATTCTGCTGTGGTAAAGAAACTGTCAGAGACTAAGCATGTCTCTTTCTTTATTGCCTCGCTTTTTACTGAAAACCAACAAAAACTATATAATTTTGTTCCATTAAAGAGCTTATATTAGAAATGTCTGTTGTTAGATTTTCACTGGATTAGATGGAATTCCAAAGCCTAGAAACTGCACACTGATGAGTGTGCTTCTGCCGATTGTGTCATTCTGTGGCCAGGACTTAAGAGCAGGAAGCTCTTCTCCTAAATGAAGTTAAGCCAATGGGGCCTTTCCTTCCTCTGTTGTATTTAAATTTGTCAGAGGCATTTTAATTCAGAATTTAGTTTTTACATAATGCAGGCCAGCTATATTCCAGAAATATAATTACATAAAGATGGGTAGCTAACAATCCCCTGGCTCCTATGCTTGTTCCTAAGGAGTGTAACTTGCCTGGCCACTGCAGCATTTCCGATGAAATAGTTTTAATTTGGGTAGTACACTGAGCATCTGTTACAGGTGGCCCAGGCTCTCAGCTAGATGTTGGTACTACAGTAACAGTCACAAAGATAGTTGTGGGCCTTGACCATTGAATTTGCAAGTGTGTGGGGGAAGACTGGATCTTTTCATCTACAGTATCAAACTATTCAATGTGTCAGTGTAGCAGAAAGTCATCACAGGCCCACAGAGGATGGGAGTAAGGAGTATCCAAACAGCCAAGCTTGCATTTTCTTAAACAGTTTTAGGAGTGGCTTGGGGACTAGAGAGATAGCTCAGCGGCCAAGAGCACTGGTTCCTCCTCCAGTGTACCTGGGTTCAATTCCCAGCACCCACGTGGCAGCTCACAACTGTCTGTAACTACAACACCTGGCACCCTCATACATACATGCAGGCAAAAATACCATTTTCTTTTAAAAAAAAAAACAAGGAATGACTTACTTCCTCAATAATTAAGTCCCATGTATACCATGATGTCTTCCTGTGCCTCACATCAGGAAAGAGCTTCTACCTTTTACACTTGCATTGCCTTGGCAGTGCACCTGTGCCATCACCATAGCAATATTGAGAATGACCTCAGCAGCCACTCAGAATCAGGCTTACAAAACAAATTATAGCTATAATTAACTCTCTGAATTTACTCTGCAATATAAATTTGTTCAGGCTCTGGTGTTTCTTTTTAAAAGGTTAAACGAATGGAATAATACAACATGAACCCCCCCTCCATTTTCCATTAGTTTTTGCTGAGAATATGAAGTATTTCAATGGAAAATACAGAGATTAGAGATTACTTTATTGCATCCTCTCAAAATGTGGCAGGCATAAATGAAGAGGACATACTACACTAGAATACCACTTATAGGGGTACAAAGTAACTCCTCCTCTATGAAGCCAATATGAAATGCAAAAAAAAAAGATGTATGCATTCTTTCTCCAAGCCCTGCTTTTCAAGACATGGTGGAGCAGGTGAGTTAGGGCTCTGCAGGCCCAAACTGTTCGGGCTGGCTCTTTCTGGGCAGTGAGAGATGCGGCTCTCACTTGTCTAATGTTTTCTGCTTCACAAATTATGTCTTCAGTATTGTACCATCTGAGCCACTCAGTAGAAAATTACTATGTAGATAGATTGTGCATCTTTTGTTTGTTTGGGAAGTTTGTTTTGTTTCTCACTGCTTTTGCTTGGGAGTGTGTCTGGTAAGGTTTGCTTTGGGTGTAGGTGGCGTATACTGCGACTACAGAGATGGACAGTGTTCAACCTTTTCCTTTTGCTAAATTACACTAATTTAGCTTTCTGCCTCAAGTGAGGCAAAACGAAACTGTCCAGCAAGACCATCACTTTATCTTAATCAGTAATGCATGAGATTTTTTTTTAAATCTACTTATTTTGTGTGTATGGGTATTTTGTCTGCATGTATGCCTGTGCACTACATGCATGCCTAGTGCTGACAGAGGCCAGAAAAGGAAATTGGGTCCTCTGAAATTGTTAGAGCTGGTTATGAGCTACTGTGTGGGTGCTGAGAATTGAACCCAGTCCTCTGGAAGGGCAACCAGTGCTCTTAACCACTCAGTCATGTCTTTAGTCTGAATGGAATATTTTAAAAGACTATTTCCTTGTCGTGGTGTTAACAATACTGAGGTAGAACATAGCTTGACAAGCAGGTGTTCATTGTAAGTAGTTGTTATTCTACAAGAACTGTAGGAAGAATGAAGAGGAAAGAGAATCCTCACAGTGTGACAGTCTGGAGACAGCTCAACAGTACCATACCCTGTATCACAGAGAAATGCCACTGGCAGTTCTGTAGGGTTGCTGCTGAGCCTTTGCAGGTGGATTTCCAGTTGCAGCTGTGTGCCCTGGCTCCATGTCATATACATAGTTAGCTCTAAGGAGCTCAGTGCACGCTCCTGATTGGAGAGGTGCTGTCAGCGCTCCTAAGGTGCAGTTTGACAGAAAAAAAAGCCCCGCTTGGTGCACTGATTCTTTAAAAATTATTCCTGCCAAACATAATTCTGTGCTTGGAAATAGTACTAGTAGTATTGGGTATTCTTGGTTCATTTCTAGGAAACAAAACCACAATTTCCCGTTATCTCTAGACTGCTGCAGCACCACGCACATGAGGATTAAGAGCCCTCTGTTCTGGCCTGTGCCTGCGATGTAACTGGAGTGGAGCATATTTCTTAGTTTATCTTGCTGCTGTACATACAGTCCTTTGATTTATCTGAAATTTCTGAGTTCTTGTATATAAATGATGATTGCATAGATTTTAGAATATATGCTTCAAATTTTAAATCAAGGGTCTGATAAATTAGACAGCTGCATTGTCCAGAGCAGCCTGCTGCTGCGGGAAGAGCCGCTCTATCTGTAGATGAGATGCAGTCAATACACAGAACATGGGCTTTGTTTTCCCATCAGATGGCCAGGGCTATGCCCAGGTTCACTAAAATATAACTTTATATTTGTATTCTTCCAGCAGCAGCTCCCTTTTGTTCTCTAGGCAGGGCTAAGTAATTGAAGGTATGAAGGAGTTCTCACTAGTCATCACAGAGCTCCTTGCTGGCTACAGATGTATTAATGTGTCTGGAAAAGGCCTTGAGTATGAGTAGCTTCTTTGCTGTAGGAATTCTAGCCTACTCTTGCCTTAGAGGATTGGTTCACTTCCAACAAGGCAGTAGTTTTACTTTTTTATTAAAGTCAGACTCTTCTGTAACCGTTTCCTTCTAACATTTGGTTTCACTCATAAAGGAACTCCAGTAGTAAAAATTAAATGCTACAATCTTTAATGCTCAAACCAAATCTCTGTATAGGAAATCCATCCGTCCAACCAGGAGTGATTAAATACTATTTTCTTGGCATTAAAGTAGAAATAAAGATGTGTGGAAGCAAAACTGTCTTCTCTCAGGTAGATTCTGCCCCTAGTATATATTGTGATCCCTGCATTGTAACCACCGCGTATACCAAACATTCCAACTCACTGTGTCTTATTTGTGCTCATGGGGAGTTGATGCCTTCCAGTTGTCTTGCTCACAGGCTAGTTGCTTTGTGTAGATACTTTGTAGCCATGCGTTTTGAAACCATTCTTGTGCCTCATCATTTCCAGGGCAGAAAGGAGTATAGTTCCTCTTTGAGTCATAAAGATGCTTCTCAGAACAGTCAACTGTCATCAACTGGCTGTCATCAGTTCTGTCAAATCGTGTCCTTCATGACATTACAGCTTAAGTCCCACACTTCAAGAGAATGGAAAGTGAATGGACTAGGGTTTGGAAATGACAGAACCTGCTGATGGTGACCATGCACTTGTCAGGGTTAGGATTAGCAGTAATAATACATCAGTTTCTTCATGCCAAGTGGAAAGTTGTGTGCCCTGATTGTGGTGGTGGTGATTACACAGATAGCTATATGTGACAAAAATCTCATAGACTGTGTGCCACAAGCACTCACACTCATTTGCATAAATATGTATGAATGCCCATAACTGAAACCTGTAGTTTTAAATAATACCATGAGTTTTCTAATTTTGATAATATCAGATTCCTAGTTTTATTAATATTATATAGATATGTAAGGTACTATCATTAAGTGAAAGCCAGTTGAAGAAATTCTGTGATAATTTGATAAATTTTGAGTCTAAAATTATTTAAAAAAAATTAGAATGTTTGACCCACCACACACAAGGAAATGTTTAGGTAAAATGGCCAGATACATTAAAGTTGGTGTAGGTGACTCTAAAGAAGAGCACCTGACCACAGGCATCATTAGTATCATATCTTAAAATTTCATGGCTTTGCATAAATAACAGATGACTTGGGCTTTGGACTTAATTAAAGATATGGTGTGCTGCTGTCTGTCTTCTCTCAGGGGAAGGAGGAAACTTCCTCCCAGGAAAAAACTGATATTCTACAAAGATGATAAATCTTGACCTTACACTCATCTTTATTATAAGGTTGTCTGTGCAAATTCACTTTATGTAAATTCTTAAAAACTTTATTTAACTCTTGATTCGTCAGCCAAGCCTGCTAAACAAACAGGTGGTAGGAGACTAACTTGAATTTCTTAGCAGCTCTTCCTTACTTGGTGTGAGTTCCAGCTGATGAGGAAGTGGGAACCTGCTGAGTGAGAGCCTTCTTCCTTCCTCTGAGCAATGGAAGGTTGACCTTGTCTGTTTCCTAGATTGTTACTTTCTGATATATATTCTTTTTAATCTCTGTGATTTTGCCCTTTCCCTTCCATGGGTTTGGAGTTATAGTAACTGACATTCTTGTGTCTTCCCTCTTCTAGCTATCTGAATGACTTGGACCGTGTAGCCGACCCTTCCTATCTGCCTACACAACAAGATGTGCTTAGAGTTCGAGTCCCCACCACAGGGATCATCGAATACCCTTTTGATTTACAAAGTGTCATTTTCAGGTAGTAACTGAGTTCATTAACACCTACATAGAGGGTCTAAAGCCTGTGGATTTGTGTGGATTATCATCATTGGGATACACAACTGAAATAATGTATCAATGAAAGAGGATGCAAAAGAAAGATATTCTGAAATTTTCATTTTAGGCTAAATAACCAGGCATTTAATGAAGCGTTAATTGCTGGTGGTAGAATACAGTTACTCAAACATTGTTCTTCACTATAGTATATATGTTCATATGTACATATATACATATATATTCACAGAGGCACACACACATACGTACACACACATATATATTTATATAATCATTTATCTGAGGACACAGTGTATTTTAGAGTTTTGTAAGGTAGTTCATATAATCCTATCAGTAATAAAGCAACTTTTGTTTTGTGTTTTTGAGATAGGGTCTCACTCTGTAGCCCAGACTGGCCTTGAAATCACAGCTTTCTTCCTGTCTCAGCCTCCCGGTTGCTGGAGTTTTAGGCAGGAACCAGCATACCTCCCATTAAAAACTTCCATATTGATAATTTCTCCATAATATTAAAAAAAATCATGCTGTTTTAGTTCATACAATAAAATGCTTGAAAGTTTCAAAATTCATGATTTAAAAAGTAGGGCAATTAACTTAATCTAAATTGATACAACAAAGAAGAATTAGAATTTATTATTTCCTTGTTTACTGCTGTTATTTGTCTTAATGCTTCAACTGGAACTTTTGTTTAAGATAAGTAAAACAATATTGGTATCTTTTCACTTTGCTATTTCCTGATCACTTAGTTGTACTTTTAGTTGCAGTGCAAACCACCCTGAGCTTTGAGGAAAGAAGCCACGTATGTCTTTGACTTCAGTGTTGAGCTGGCTCTCGGAGAGCCCACTCATGTAGGATAGTGGAGGTGTGTGTGCTGCTGCAAAGCCGCCTTCATTTACCTCCTCCTACAGCATGTCTCTGCCGTGGGACTCAGCTTGGCACATACATTGTTGTTTCTTGACAAAGCACCAATTTTTATTATATTTTTTATTATTATGCTTTTTTCCCCTCTGTTCATTTTTTGCACCCGTGGTGTAATCTTGCCACCATATACTGCTTAAAAGCACATGGCTTTGAAGTAGGTAGCTGCTTGAAAATATTTAGGAACCTCTTTTTAAAATATGTAATGGGTACATTAAGATGATCACCAAGGTTCCTAGGGCCAGCATTCTAGATTACTTATTTTGAGTTTATAACATCTGGATACCCAAATTTACTTACTTTTATAGTCATATTACAGAAAAATTTAAAAAGAAAAGACATACATTACTTCTTGGAGATTTTCACATTTTGGTTGCTTTGCAGTTTCAAAAATTGGTTAGGATTTCATCTTGTTCTTGAAACATTTGTGCACTAGTGTTGAAGGATACTTTTTGCCACAACAGCAAAAGTAATGACTTCCTGTCATCCTCTGACATTGGTTCCCTGCAGTAGGGCTTCCTTGAATAGGAGTTCCCTGTAAATGAGTTGCATATTTTCACATAGTGGCATTGGGACAAAGCCAACGTTTTAATATTTTTGTTTTGTTTTTTGTTTTTCAAGACCGGGTTTCTCTGTAGCTTTGGAGCCTGTCCTGGAACTAGCTCTTATAGACCAGGCTCACCTCAAGTTCACAGAGATCCACCTGCCTCTGCCTCCTGAGCACTGGGATTAAAGGCGTGCACCATCACTTTAACACCTAAATGTTCCACTTTTGTTGTCCAAAGTTCGCAGGTCTCATGGAATTATTGTTTTGCCCTTCTGATCTCACTCCTGGACCTTTGGAGTCTTTAGGAATGGTGGTATGAGTGATCCTTGATTTCTGGGCTGGGGTGATGCCTCAGTCAATAAGGTTCTTTGCTTGTGGGTTTTCATGACCCACATAAAAATCCAGCTGTGGTGGCATATGCCTGTAATCCAAGGTTCAGAGAACGGAAGTCACAAAGATAACAAGGCCCATAGCCAGTTGATGAGCTCCAGGTTCACTGAGAGACCGTGTCTCAAAATACAAGGTGGAGAGAAGTAGAGGAAGCCTCCTGAGAGTCACCCTCTGTCCACACACACATGCACACACGTGCACACACTCACAGAAACAGAAGTTCTTTGAGTTCTTCCTCTGGATTTCGTGTGAGAATTAGGAAACATCATGAGCAGGCAGGAGTACTGCTCTTCCGCTTTCATAACAGACCTTCTCATTCTCTGAGCAGATGGTGTGCAGCAGGGAAGAGTCAGCCCCAGGGGTTTGTCAGGCTCTGCTGATTATGTACACACACACTTCCACTCCATTCTTGGTGCCCATGCTGGTGTCTGAGGATAATCAAGTGCAGAGTGGATGCATGAGAAGCAGACTCAGGAACTGGTTCAGATGATGCCCTGTGAGGCACTGCATAACATTCTGATATCTTACACCACACTTAATATCCAGCAAGGAGGCAGGTTGGTTTGTGCACAAAGCTGATTGCTCCATGCTGCCTGTCCTAAATTGTTGCCAATATTGAAAGAAAGAAAAAGCTCCAAATTCTTATCCTACAAAAGGAAGCATAGGCAAGATCATATTTACATTTCGTACCCTCCTTATGTGGAAATGTATGGCATCTTATATCCTTTAAATATATCCATGGTCCTTCCTGGCATCCTTGGTAATACATGGTGGTCTTCACTCTGCTGATATCTAAGAAATGAAAGCAAAATTTATTATTTGTTACTTATCTTAACATAAAAACATCCTGTTTGCCTTTGAAGTGTGTAATTTAATAAAAGAACTGTTTTACTTGGCACAGACAAGAAAGTTTTACATAGTTACAATTTTCATTCATATCTAGTAACTTCCTGTAACCACAGTGATTTATTATCTACCATGTCTTATTTCTGTCAGGTAACAGACAATTAATAGTCAATAAGCATTAATTGACTTGGATGCCATTGTCTTTAATGCGTTGAATTTTCCCTAATTTGTAAGTAGTATTATATTGGTACTTTTAATATTTTCTTTATGTTATTAATATGAATATTGTTACCTTTACAGAATGGTCGATGTAGGGGGCCAAAGGTCAGAGAGAAGAAAATGGATACACTGCTTTGAAAATGTCACCTCGATCATGTTTCTAGTAGCGCTTAGCGAATATGATCAAGTCCTTGTGGAGTCAGACAATGAGGTAAGTGCTCTTTGGACAGAGAGTGATTCATCATTTTAGTGCCTGATAGAAATAAATGGCAAGAAGTAGGATGTAGGCAATGGATTGAGTTGAAGTCATTACTTTCTTTATCACTATTTCAAGATCTTTTTTTTTTCTTTTTGGTTTGTTTTTAGTTCTTATTACACCAGTGTATTTATTTTGTGTGTACATGTCTATATCAGGACCTGTGGGGTGGATTCTAGAGGTGGAACTTGGGTTCTTAGGTAGCACTTCTATGCACTGAGATGTCTTACCTATCTGGATGTTACCCTGTAAAACCAACCTATGGCAAGCTTTTCTGTCAGGAATGCAAGCAGGTCTGTGTGCTCAGATCTAATTAGAACCTGTTTGATACTTTTAGCACTGTGCAGAGGATCTGAAAATAAAATTATTATGGAAAGCCCTAGGTTAATCACAAGATCCTTTCATAGCCTTTCTTGCAGCATAGAGCTGAGAGTGTTGAGTGAGTCAACCTGTTTTGTTTTGCTTTCATTTTGTTAAAACATTGTTTGCTCCATGGGTGGGCATGCAAAACCTTCACTTGGCAGATGTGAGTAACTTTGTAGCTGTGTTCAAAATCAGTTCATTGTGAAGTCATGCAGTGTCTTGGTGATGTGGCCTCTCTGCTGCTGTGTGCTATTTGGGCTGTTGTGTAACTCTACTAAGCAGGGGGTGACTCAGGAACTGTTCTTCACACTCCTGTCTGGAGAGCTAGCTCTGTATTGGGCTTCTCTCTGCTGCAGGGAAAGGTAACAGGTGGAAATGCGGACTCTGAGAGTAGTAGAGGTGTGCTGAATCAGAGCTGACTATGGAGGATAATTAAGGGGTACAGGAAACAGCCTTAGAGCTAACATTCACAGCATGTGTGTCTGAATGGAGATGCCATTAATACTGTCAGAGCTTGCAGACAGAGAGACCGGTGACATTAAGTAAATAAAAGGAGAAAACAAAGAGAAGGAAGTGAGAAATCCCCATCCACTGGTTAAACTGAGATCTGGTATGTCAAGATTCACTTTCAACACACATCCTTTTCCATAGATAAGAATTCCTGGCTTCTTGATCTTTTTAAGATAGCTTATTTTTTGCAAGTCTTAATATTCTCATTATAGTTCATACCCAGTATGCAGGGGTTTGCATCTGTCAATGAGCTAAGGCCAGATAACCAGCCGCTGGTTCCCTGAGCTCAAATGCAAAGTGCCTACAGGCATGGTAGAGTATTGCTAATTTTGTTATAAAATTTAAGTGGGGCATTTGCCTTTGGAATGTTTACTATTACATCTCTCTGGTTCTCTTTCTTAATCTGTACCCATGCCCATTTGTTGTTCCTTAATTCTTGGAGACTATAGTTTGAATATATTGCTTACTTTAGACATCTTGTGGCATGCCTATGGTTTCAGTACTATGTTGTGGGTATCAGCATCTCCAAACAGTTACAATTTTTCCCTGGAGAGAAGATTTAAAAAAAAATACACATACTTTTTTTTTTAAACCGGAATAAAGCATATCAACCAAAGGTAATAAGACTTTTGCTATATAGCTCTCCATTTCTTATATTCAGTTTGCTACCCACTGAAATAAATTTTACTTGTGTCACCTATACAGAAGATGAAAAAAATACATAAAATTTCATGCCTATACTTACATACTAGCAAGGGTAAAATACGTCTACCAGTACACATATTATTCCCATTCAATATGTTGTATCTACAAGGAATTACATGTTGTGATTTAATGGCAATCAATTTGCCATTTTAAAATTAGCAGAACAGCAAGGAAGTCAATTCTCTAAATGACTTGTCAGCTAAGTCTAGTACAACAGCCCCGTTCTTTGTTTATCTGGTCATTACAAATTTCATCTGATGTTACTATAGAAATCTGATCTGTTGGGTGGTTGGCATAAAAATGTATTAGTTCAATGGCATTTTTTTTAATCAGACATTTTCAGATTTCTACCAGTAATTTGTCATTCAGTAAGTTGGTATTCATTGCAAAAAGCCTGGCCTGAGTCCTTTAGTTCATAAGCTGATATGTTATACCGCAGATTAAAATAGTAAAGCTGTGTTCTAGTTTGCTTTCTGTTGCTGTGACAAACACCATGGCCAATGTCAACCTGGGGAGGAAAGGGTTTATTCCATGTTACAGTTTTTCATCTATCATGAAAGGAAGTTGGGGCAGAACTGTGGAGGCAGGAGCTGAAGCAGAGACCCTGGAGATGTGTTGCTTACTGACTTGTTCTCCAGGGCTTGCTCAGATTGCTCCCTTGTACCGCTGAAAACCACCATCCTAGGAACGGCATCACCCACAATGGGCTGTGCCCTCCCACATCAGTGCCTACAGACCAATCTGATGAAGGCATTTTCTCAGTTAAAATGCCCTTTTCCCAGATGACCTTTTCAAACTTACAGAAGTCTCCCCGTTAGAACTCAGTAAGTCACACTCATTCTGGAACTTTCTCTCGGGCCTTCAGCAAGCCTGATAATAGCACTGGAGCTGATCCTCAAGCAAAGCAAGAGCACACTGTGCATAACCAGCACCCCTAATTGGCGCACAGTCCCAGCAGCTTGTTCTTATTAGAGTGATCTGTTTGATTTTCGGTTGTAGTAGAACATTCAGATGTCGTTGTTTCCAACTTCTTAAACCATTAAGGTAATTCAGAGCTACAGAATTCTAGTTTCTGAAACGTCTTGGTGTGGGTGAGATAGAACAAGAAAAAACTTCCTGCAGTTTGCTCTTGGTTTTAAAGTGTGATGTTCATAGCTTTACTTCCAAACAGACTTAACTGTGCCTGCCTTGGTATATATTTGTGAGAGAAGTCTGGAAGTGAATTCTGATGGCCTCTCTTTCTGTCCTGTGGAGCCGTGGAAAATTCACTGTAGACTCCAAGCAGGACAACTAAGACATTTTGTAGAAACTCTGAAGCTGATTTGTTCAGCAAAGTACGTGAAGTTCATGCTCCCAGAACCCACATAAAAGGATGGTCATGGTGGCACATGCTTACAATCCCAATTCTGGGAAGGTGGGTACAGGCACATCCCTGGGGCTAGCCAAATCAGCTAAGGCTGTTTGGCTAGCTCCAGGCCTGTGAGAGAACCTATCCCCACCTCACCCCCAAAGGTAGCCGGCACCTAAGGAATGACACCTAGCTCCCAAATGCACAAGTACACAGAGACACACAAGAGAAATGTTCCAGATTATTCCCTTTGCTTGTGTTTTAGTTATTTGCAGACACTATGTATTAGTCTCTGATCTCTTTACACAGATCAACTTTTGTCTGTGGGGATTCTCAGCTTTCCTATTGTTTGGGGAGTGAATGTTTTTCTCCTTTGTCTCCAAATAAGGAAATAAGCAGGAACTAGGCAAACCAAGGTTGTAGTGCTGCACTGATTTCCAACTTCTCTTTTCTCTTGTATTTCCCCTGTGGTAACATACCAGCTTGCAGCCAACTATCCTGTCGTAAATCCTTTCATGGACACATTGTTTCAGAGCCGCTGAAAGCCCAGAACAGGGAAATAGCCGGTGTGTATCATTGTGTGTTCAAACTCGCCTCTGTTTTTTATTTCTCTAGCTTTCTGGTCCATGGCTGAGCATTCACACTTCTTCCTCTTTTTCTTCCTCTTTTTCTTCCTCTT